TAGTTCCTATAATAGTTTTGAATATCTTACAGAATATAGAGATTATTTTGCTATATAAAGGATAATTTTATAGTCTTTTATTTTTATTATTGTGTACTGTGATACTTGTAATTTTTAGAAAAAGTTCTCTGACAAAAGAAATTAATTTATTTGTTTAGGCACATGACAGCCCGGTCAGGACAATGGTATGGTCACATAATGAAAGCTGGATGGTAACAGGCGACCACGCGGGCTACGTGAAATATTGGCAGAGCAACATGAACAATGTCAAGATGTTTCAAGCGCACAAAGAAGCGATTAGAGGACTCAGGTATATCATCCACCACACTAGTCCTTACGTCTCTTGCGTCACTGTTGCCGATCGGTCCATCCTTGCCGTAGTTAGGATATCGGACGTGACTCTTCTTCTCTTCCTTTTCTGGTTTTGTGCAGTTTCTGACAAAGCAATAGTGATTCTTGTATGGGTACACAGGTGATTTTAAACAAGTTTCAATATAAAACATCGGATAGAGTATAACGAAATATGACATTTCCGTCGTGAATCATGGAATGAACTATGAAATGTTCATGAAAGAAATTAATTGTTAAATATCTCGATCGAATTCGTGTAAATAAAAAATTTCGATATCTTTTGCCGAATTAGAAGATTTTTGGAATGGAATAGTTTTCATCGTGTATAAAAATATTTTCATATGTGGCAGATATTATATTTTTAAAACAATAAATTTTAAAAAAGTTCAATAGAATTTGCAAAACTAATAAATAAATATTTTACCGTATTTTTATCGCGTTGTAAAAATCAGTATACAAGGATAGTGTAAATTTTTTGCGTACATTATATGCGCGTATCGATATAATTTATTATTTGTATTTATTATAGAGTCCTAGGGACCTAACTTTCGATTAACTAACTACTCCACATAATAGTATCGATAATGCGTTCATCACACATCAAAGTGACACACATTTTAAATTAAGTTGTTATAATGCTATTAGGTCCTTATGGCTCTCGTTTTAAGCTGTTTATGTGGCTAGATTATTTATTCGGCAAAGATGTATGTTTTAGATGAATAAAAGAAAAATATATATATATATACATATATGGCAATACCTAGTCGAGATTCCCATATAATGATAAATAAAAGATGAAATATCCTGTGTCCTTCTTATATCGTTTAAGTTTCAATAAAGTTAAATAAAGACATTATTATTGCATGGCTATGAAAATAAAATATTTTATCTTTAGTTTATGTGTCACTTGTGCCCTTTCGCAGATGAGAGAGAGCGAGAGCGAGAGCGAGCGAGAGAGAGAGAGAGAGAGAGAGAGAGAGAGAGAGAGAGAGGGAGGGGGGAGAGAGAGCGTAACAGACAAATATAAGACATAATTCATGTACACTTCGGACATTTTTTTGTGCAATAAATGTTAAATTTTGAAAAAAAAATTACTATTAATACATCACTCGGTGGTCATGTGGCATCAAAATCAGTCATAGTTTTAACAAGATGAAATTGTTTCACTACCTGACAAATAATGGGATTTTATTTGAGTGCCAGATATGACTGTCGCGGATGGTTTTTTGTTTATTTATAATATATGTTTATACATATAAAGATTCCTTTTTTTATTACTGATCTCTATTTCTCACAATGGCGTACTCATAAAATTCGGCTATATTTTCTATTACATTTGTTTTGGTTAAAACTCGGAAATATATTACACTACTTGTGTGCACGACTTTGTGTACACGTTTGCTCGCATTTCTTTTCTGTCTCTCCGCGCATATACTGCTATCAGCAACAAATACACTGGGAGAATCATCAAAGGAAAGCTAGGAATTATTATAAAATGACTACTTAATATGCATTAATTATAATTTACAATTTACATTTATTCGACATTGATTTTTTTATCGTGTGATTTAAGATATATATTATAAAATTTTAGATATATATATATTAAAAAAATAAAT